TCCTGAGTCCTCGGGGACAGCTCTGAGCAATGTCCCCCCTGAAGCAGGAGGCTGAGTACATGAAGAAAACATGGCTAGTTCTTAAAACACACATCTGAATAGATAAGAAACTTTCCTTAAGTTAACCCCATAGCTAGCTCAGACAGGGCTGCACAAGGCTGTGTGTTGGGAGAGCACATCTTTAAACAAATGCAGTGTAATTATTAACACACATGGCCAGGTGCCTACAAGCATATGGTACCAGGCTGTTTTCTGAAGGTTTATCTGTAATAGTGAAAAATTCAGAGACCCAAATGTCTAGCACCAACAGGGGAATGGTTAAATCCTACATAACACTATGCAGCTATTAGTAAGTAACGTATTATCACATATACTGACATCAGGGTTATTAATGAGTAACTGCTGGGTCACAAAAAGCAAATGGCTGGCAGTCTTATAGCTATTATCTCGTCTTGGTTAAAAAAGCTACCTATGTTGTTGTCCTGTACCAAAACAACACATCACATCCACACCTGCGTATGCGCACAAGCCTATTGGGTGGGTGCGCATCAAATGGTAAGCCACTGCCTCTAAGGAAAGGAGAGGGCTGCTGAGGGGACAGCAGGCATGGGCAGGCTTGAACTCCTTACTTCACACAAATACACTTTCCCCTGAGTACGGACTCTCCCTTGCAGTTTTAAGAAAGAAAATATGAACATGCAATAAAGACACACTATGAGAACCTTGTCCAGTAAGGTGTCTGGCAGACAGGGGAGACCCTCAGGAACTGTGCTTGATGGAGGACTGTGCAGCCGGAGGCCCTTAGAAATTGGCTGTGGCCTCCTGAGCTTGCCTGTGAGCCAGCTGATGTCAGAGGACTAGAGGAAAAACCTTGGTCTTCTTTACACTGAGTTCCCTAATGGTGCTGCCAATTTTTTTAGGGGGGAACCCCCCAAACAGTCAGTGAACCAAACAGAAACAGTCAGTGAACCCAAGTCCCAGGCAAGTGTGTCTCATTTCTCCCACAGGAGTGGGGCAAGGTCACTATTCCCTAACTTGGCAGTTTACACCAAAGCCAAGAGGAATCTTCCCGGAACACTTTCTCCTGAGAAATTCTGCATGGGGATGTTTATAAAGGCTGTTTTGCCTCCTGGAAGGGTGGTTTTCTCACCAGCAGAGCAGAGAGTTCCTGTGCTCACCACTGAACACAGCCCTCCTTGTGTTGGTGAGCTGCCCAGCAGGACAGGAGGCCCATGCCTTGGAAAAGAACACGTCTAGACTCCCTCCTTGGAGTACACCCCCAAACACCCCAGCTGTGTTCCAGCACATCAGAAGGCAGAGTCGTTGGATGAGAAGAGTCCCCAGTTACTTGTCCCACGGAAACACGATTTTAGATTAATGTACAGCCAGGCCGATCAGCTGTATACCAAAAAGGTGTTGTTGCAGCCAGGGAAACATGCGCTGACCTTATGCTGTTCAGTTCACAGGCACTGAAAGATGAATGGGACTATGTCTTGGGACCTGAAAGCAAAGATGGGATTCTAGACAAGAAACTGTTAGCATGATTTCCTTTTGGACAAAAGAGGGGGTGTGAGTTACTTCCATCTCAGACACGTGCTGCGTGAACGCATTGCTTGGAAGGCAACAGGTCTCGACAAACACTGTTTAAGTGATGGCTCTTAGTGAAATTACTGCTTTTTGTGACATAAAAGGAACCAATCCTCTCTCTCTCCCCTCTGTAATCTGAAGTGCTTCTTTTTTTTAAAGTATATTTCTCCAAGCTCTGCTGCAAATCTTTAAAAGTCATGACATTTTATGATCCCTTATTGCAAATTTCAGGAAAGACTTTTATCTCCTATATTTTAAAGAAATTGTCACAAAAACAAAGATTGGGAGCTGAATTTTTCCCTAAGCCGAAGGACTGCTGTATCAAGAAGGCTTAAGTTTAATCAAAGCATTGAGTCCTGTTGGTTCCGTGCTCTCACGTGCAGAACTTTCACTTCTGGTCCAACCCCCCCCCTCCCCCCATGTTACAGTTGAGGAAATGGAGAACCAGAGAGGTGAAGCTGCTCATCCGAGGTCACACAGGAAGGTTACAGCTAGAATCAGAGCCTAGGCTGAGACGTGTATCACACAGTGATACCACCTTGCAGACCAAGTTCTTTGGTTAAAGAGATTTTTACGTTTTACCCAAGGGACTCATCAGGACACACAACCCTCATCCTCAGGCCCATGAGACCATCACCGGGAACAAATGCAGAAGATCACTTTTGCACACGTAATACATCCAGAGAAACATAAGGTTAGAAAGAGCCCAGGGTGACTCTACTCTGCTTCCTTTCCTTGAGGCAGACGCCACTGACATCATTCCAGGGGAGAATTATTTAGCTTATTTCTAAAACCCTTCAGGGAAGATTTCATAACTTCACTTACCAAGAAGAGTATCTGATTTCTTTCCAACAGTAGGATCCAAAAAATAACCATTAAAAAAACACTGCATGGTCTTTTGCCTAAAAATATAAAATTTTCCTCATCCTGATACCTTAGAAGTGATTATTCAAAATAACTCCCTAATTTAGTCCAACATGGACATTTCTACTGGGAAAAAAACACTTTGGAAAATAAGAGTATGGAGTTGTCATGAAACCTTAACTATGATTTTTGTAAGAATTTGTTGGGAATGTAGGAGACTCATTCAGGCCAGTCTGTGTGAGGAATTTTGACATAAATGATAATACTGTATTTAGAAACCTGCAGAGCATAAAACATTTGTAACATGAAAATTCCTGGGTTAGAAAGTATGTAACGGCTCCTGCTATATGATTTTTATCTCTAAGCTCTATTAAAAAAATCCTGTTTTTTGCAAAGCAGTTTTTGTAGTAGGTCTTAGCTGGGGAAAATACATTTCTAAGTAATCTGAAGGGGGAAATAAAAAGCAAAATAGGTTAATAACTCTACCAATAATTCCACATACATTCATGCCAGATGATTCACAAGCCAGGGGTGATTCTGAGAGGAGGAAGTCTAACACCCGGGATGTTCACAGAGAGGAAGCTAATAAAGTGTGGCACTTTATCTGAAGATGACACCCCTGACTCACTGTCAATGGCCTGGAACTGCGTTTCCGTCAGTGAGGAGACTAAAGGCTTAGGAATCAAGGGGTGCGCGGGATGCACCCCAGAGGCAGCTGCTGGGGCGGGGGCAGCCCATTCTGCGGCACAGTGCGGGCTGCCCGTGTGAGGCACTGGCAAGTCTGAGGACAGCGTGAGCGCCAGAGTCTTGGCCTCAGGGTCCTGGGCAAAGGTGCAAAATAGCCTCTTTAATTTCATCTGCCACCCCGACCATCTACCTAATGGCTTCTCAAAGCTTCCACAGCCACGGATCAGCATTCCTGTGCCAGCCATTTCTCCTCTGCTGTTCCAGGCAAGGGTTTCTCCAACTGCCCCCCACTGCCTTCCCCAGGTGTTCAGGAGTCTTCCATGCATGGACTGATGGTATATCTGGGGCCCACTCCTTGACCTGCGTCCAGTCTTCATCTTCAGGCCTGAAAGGAAAAGGTCTATCTCGGTCCTCACTTAGAGCCCAGAAAGGCCAGGCTGGCTGTGGTGCTGGGAGGGCTCTGTGCCTGGGGAGGACTCTTGCACCCCGCGGTCTGCCCTGAGCCAGCTGGTGCCCAGGCCGGGTGTGAGGTCGCAGAGGAGGTTCAGCAGCACTTCAGTCAGGAGGCAGTCCTCAGCTGGGGGAAGAGCCACATGAGTGAAGAGCCATGATCCAATTAACTGGGGGTACCCCAAAACACAAGGAAGCCCAGAAATGAGGTTGCATGGCTCCTAGTACATGAGTCAAGGGTAAGCTGTAGAGTTGGCTTGTAAGAGGGGTAATATCACTGATAACCATTTGGGGGGTACTGTTGCTATTTCATAAAGGGATAATGGGGTTGAAAGAGGAAGGAGAACATGTATAAAGGTCACATGGACAAAGCCAAAGTGGGGTAGGACTGAGGGTGGGAGGTGAGGAAGGGTAGGGTCAGGGGAGGGGGGAGGGATAATGGAGACAACTGCACTTGAACAATAACAACAACAAAAAAATAAAATAAAATGAAGAAACAAATTCACAGATACGGAGAACATTTGATGGTTTTCAAATGAAAGTGGGGATGGGTTTAAGGGGAAAGAGATTAAGAAGTACAAATTCGTGTTACTAAATAGTTACTATGTAGTCACAGGGATGTAAACTACAGCATAAGGAATAAAGTCAATAATATTATAATAACTATATATGATATCAGATGGGTACTAGACTTATTGGCATGGTCACTTTGTAAGTTTTATAAATGTCTAATCAATATGTTGTACAAATGAAACATAATATTTTACATCAACTGGAATTTAGAAATAAAAACATTTAAGTAAAAATATTATTCCCTTTTTGCAGGTGAAGATATTGGGGCTGAGACAAGTGAACTAGTTCATTCAGGGTTACAGAGGAGTGAGCTGGGACTCAACTCCACACCCCAGGCTTTCTCCCAAGCTGTCTCCCCGGACCTGTGCACGGGCAAGGTGACAACGGCACTTCTCAGCTCTGCACGGGCCTGTTAGCACATGCTTGGGGGACTTCAGAGCCTGGCTTCCCAGGTCCCCAGCAGCATTCTGTTTAAGTGGAACTGCAAAATTCTCAAAATTAAACTAAATTCACTTTAATTTTGAAGGCAAAAGCAAACAGATGCCCCCCAGCTTCTCCTAGGAGAGGGGACAGAGATCACATAAACTGCCTTCACTTCCCTCCCTTGAGAGAGGCTGGGGATCACTGCACAGCCAAAGGCAGCTCTGTGCTCGAAGAGCAAATAGCTTTGGATGAAGCTCTACGAGCCGAAAGCAAATGCAAAAAAAGAAAAACTTGAGCTTGATATGCTTAACCAGGGAGATGCACATTCACTCAAAAGAGGATTTAAAAAATTTTGAAGTGCAAAATGGGTGTCATGATAAGCACCTTATCCCTATTTTATTAAAACAATGAAGTTAATACCAAAAGTGTTTTTTTAGAGGGAGGTTTTTTAAATAACCTTTACCAACTTGGGCGATTTGGGAGAATAAATGACCACACTCCACAGTGGGCTATATCACTAAACATATAGTTCACTATTTTGTGGCCTGCATGGCATAGGAAAAAAAGAAAAAAGAAAAATAATGGAGTTAAAATGTGAGAGGAAGGAATGGATACAAGGAGAAAAATATGCCAGATATTCCAGTTTAAGGAATCAATGCTTCATAAATGTCACCTTCTTCTGTCATTTTCTGTGTCTACTTCATTTTATAAAAATACTTATGCTTAGATTAAAAGGTTTCTAAGAGGTCATTCTAAAAATAAAATGAGACTCAGAGATTTTTTTAAAACTCCAATGCAAAAACCTTACAACATGTCATCGAATAATGCCAAAGTGATGTTGTTAAAATCTTCATAATTAAAAAAATATTTGATTAAAAAATAGAAAACTATAAAATGTTCATTCCAGTTGAAGCTATTATTTTCTGAGTAATCAAATAGATCATTTATCAGTAGTTTCTCAGGTACCATTTTCCTCAATTAGAATCCTGTGCAGTAAGAAAAGGCTGCATTTGAGACCCCGAACCCTTCCTCCTTTTATGTCCACACCCCTGTGAGAATCGTCCTTTTGGCCTGACATCTGCCTCCACTCCCTTCCTTGCCTCTACTCCCTAAGAAGAGTTTCTGGGCTCTGTCCAGGGCCTAGCATGCTGGTACCTCCCCATTCATCACAGCCTGCCATGGCACGGTTTCTCCACATGAGTGGCTTCTCATCCTACACTACCAGCCGGGTCGATGGCACCACAGGGTGGAGGTACCACAGGGTGGAAACCCCATGCCTCGCTGTGTTCCCAGGTTGGCCCTTCTTCCTCTGTGTCTGAGACCAACATGCTGATTCTTAGCATCCCTGACCTTCAATCTGGTACACAGAAGGTGTTTAATAATGGCTTGCAAAACAAACGATGCAGGCATCTGGCCAGGAGCCACTTGGCGTTCCTTTGTCCACCTGGAATGCCCCATTCCCCCACTTCACCCATACCGTCTGCTCTAGCTTCCCATAAACAGAAGCACCTCCATCCAGTCAGTTGTGAGAGAGTGAATCTGGCCCCCTTTCTTATCCACCCGCTCTCAGTTCATCCATCACCAACCTCTGTACACTCCCCTTCCTAGACCTCTCCCTTCCTCTCCAACCCCTCTCTAACACTGGGCCACTGGCCTTCCTCATAGCTATGGGGCTACCGCATGGCCTGTCCTGCTCCCACTCCCCGTTCAGCCTCTCTTGAACTCGCTCCTCTCCTGCTCCTCTCTGTCCTCGGGCTGGAGCCCAAGCTTGCTGACAAGGCAGGCAGGGGACCTGTGATGTGGTTCTACTGATTCCATAAGTCTCAGCTCTTAGCAGTCGGTCCCCAGCCCCACCCCTGCGGACACTTGGCATCTAGCAGTCGAAGAAGCCCTCTTACCCACCCTCTTACCCTCTTGGCTAGCTGGTAAAGCAGAAACTAATGGTTAAGTCAGGGACTCACTCAAAAAATGTGAATTCTAGCTTTCAATGGAACCTACACAAGTAGGTGATTTGATGCAGGGCCAAGGCTTTGTGTTTAGAGCAGATATTGGAAGAAACCCCATCTGTCAGCGACATTCCTTGCTCTAGTTTTGTCTGGGTGGAGAGGATGCTTAGAGATGCACAAGAAGCAACACGAGGGCAGCCTCTGTTTTGAATGGCTGATCCCCCGGCCTCCACCACCGCCATCTTTTACAGCCTAGGTCCTTGCCAGCTCCCCATGGGGGGAGGGCAACCTCCCCCACTTTTTTGAGTCTTTTCAAAGCACTCATTCATTTCTCGAAAAACCCCTACTCTTTCCTTTTATACTCATAAGCCATCAGTTTGTGGAAGAGTTAATAAAGTTATGTGGTTCATTAACAAGTACACCTGGCATCGAACTGGAAATGAACTCAACTGAGTGTTGAGTGCATGAGGTGGGGGCAGAGAGCTCAGCTCAGGCCTGCGGTGGGGAACGGCAGGCGGACAGGCCCGCACGTGACTACATTATGTGTGGCCCGTCTCCCCCGCCAGATTATGGGCTCTAGACCAGAAGAGTCTGGCTCAGTTCACAGCCTCTAGGACCTCTGTGCCTAGCACAGGACTGGAACATGATCTGGGCTTAGGAAATGAAGGCTGGATGGAGAAACGAGCCTCCCACAGACCCGCCCTACCCCGATTCCAGCTACTTCTCGAGCAAATATGGCTTCCTGAGATACCTGCCTCCTCTCCCTACTTGGAATCACTCATGGCCCAGTCACATAGTCAGCCACATGTTCTAACTCAGACCCTGTGCACGAGAGCACCTCAGAACTAGATGCAAAGAAGCAGAGACACTCTCTGGCCCAGCTTCATGGTTCACAGGTCAGGAGGCTAAGAGACAAGCTAAGAGATTTGGGGCACACAGCACCTTCTGACCAGTGCTCCCTGCTACCTCCTGGCTCAGACCCTTCTCCTCTCTTGTCCCTCAGTCCCAGGAGCTGGTAAAGCAACACACAGAGTCCTGTGATGGTACAGCCCCAGGCAGAGGACGGCTCTGGAACATCCCCACTCCGTGTGAGTGTCTCACAGGTGAGATCCGTTGGGCAGGAGTCCCAACTCCCTCCCTTCCTCCCATGGCTTGGGATACGAGAAGTGCTGATTAACTGGTACATGAGCCCTCAGCAAGTTAACCTGAAGAAGAAAATAAAGTCAACCTCAAACCTCAACCTCTCGTGCATCCCTACTGATTTACGAGAAACCCAGTGACTGGCAGATGTGCCCGTTCACCAGCCGGCCAAGAGAACTGGCAACTGGGTTACAGAGTGAGAGAACAGAGGTAAACCTGCTCACTAGGCTCACACACACTTCAGTAACAACACTGACCACCTTGTAATGCTGAGAGCATTTGTGTGCCCTTCAGTACTTTCAGTAATATCACAAAACTAAGGTGCAAAGCAGCAAACACATCGTTGCCCTGATTCTGGTACAGGGGCACACGGAATTTAAGACAGAAGCAAAACCATGAAGTCTCAGGTCAGTTTCTCGCTTTCCACTTGAGAACTGGGCCAGCCAACCTCACGATCCGCCCCTCAGTTCATCACAAAAATGAACATGGACACAGAAGAGCTGAACAGCCCAACTGGCTGGGGAATGTATTATGAAATTTATCAATGACTGATGACTGTGTTTTAAAGACAAATTTAAAGAGAAATTTTTAAATTGTGCCAAACACCTTCACTGCCAATAATAATCCCTTCAGTGCCCTGGCAGGGTGGCTCAGTTGGTTACAGCAGCATCCCAGACAGTCAGGGCACAGACCTAGGCTGTGGGTTCGATCCCTGATTGAGGCACATACAGGAGGCAACCGATGGATATTTCTCTCTCACATTGATGATGTTTTTCTCTCACCCATCCCCTCTTTCTAAAATCAATAAAAATGTATCCTTGGGTGAGGACTTAAAAAAAAAATCCCTTTAGCAAACGTCAATCAGCACCTGCTAAGTGCCAGGCAGTAGCGGGCCAGGAACCAGGGAGCCAGAAGTGTCGGCCACAATCCGGCCTGGAGCGCTCACCTGTCCGTGCAGGTGGGAAGCAGAGCAGCTAACCTATGTCCACAACTCAGTGTCCTAAGAACCGACGTAAATGAAAACAGCCTGAGTACCTCGAGGAGGACCCCCAGCCCAGCCAAGCTGTGGGGGGCAGGGGGAGCTGCAAAAGGGGTATGGAAGGGATTCCAGGAGGACGTAACGTAAGTTTTGCGTGTTGAAGGATGAATAGGAATTAGGCAGGTGAATGAGTCGGGAAGAGAAAACAGCATTCGCAAAGCCTGGGCATATGGAAGGCCACGGGGCATGTCAGGGATATAAGAGGGTCCAGAGAACAGCCAAGGTTGTGGAGCATAACAAGGTTCTCCGGGGTCACCAAGGGCCTTGTGTTCCATGTTAAGGTCGAACCTGATCCTGATGGTGGTGGCTGGTGAGACCCTGCATAGGTTTAGGCAGGGGAGTGATCAATCCACATGTGATTATCCAAGGGTCTCGAGAACTGATGAGCAACACTCGGGGACTCAGGACCAGTTTATTCACTGCTTCCAAGGCACCAGCAACTTAAAAGCCTCATTAGCAGGCAGGTCTCCAACAAACAACTAAGCCTGCCTCCCCTTCCATAATGCCCTCTCTCTGAGGCCACAGCTACTTTCTATTGCATTCTAATTTCAAGAAATGAGAAACAAATGCTCATGTTTCCATTTACAAGTTTTTGATTATCAGCCAGGCATTGTAGCTGCAAATTATCCATTTTCTATTATAATTATTTTTACTTCTCTAGATGAAGAAAAGAAGCATATTTAAATCACCAAAGTGCTCGAGCCACACAGAGGGAGGGAAGAATTAAGCACTGCCGCAACTTCCACCAACGGCACCGTAACAGCAAGTTTGCAAAATGAAATGCAAGCTCGCGGCCTGTGTTAGACCAGGCCTAGGTAGGTGCCTCTGCTCAGCGCCAGCGGTTTACCTAAAGCATGGCCCAGGCTGCAGCATACCAGGAAAGAGCTCGCTGGTGGCAGACTTGCCGCAGTGAAGGCTTTCACGAATGGCTCCTTAAAACCAGGCTGCTTTAGGTGACAGGCTCGGGCCCCTGGGCACTAACTCTTGGTTGTTTTTGGTTGTTGTTGTTTCTTTGCTCTAGGAGAAATTTTTAAAGATGAAATGGTCGCTAACTTGGATGCATCGAAGCATCTGAAATGTCTGGTTGCATTATGACTGGAAGTCCACAAGGACCTAGCTGTGCTAACTGGCGTCGCAGACCCCTCTCCTAAACGGGGCTGCGCAGGGTCGTGTCTGGCTGCCTTCTTGTCCCGGTGGGGAGTGGCTGAGGTGGGGGTGAGGAAGAGCCCAGGAGTGGTTGGGAGGCAAGGAATTCAGGTCGCCAACTGAAGTGAGGAAGAGGCCACATGGAGAGATGTGTGCTTATCCGCAGCTTCAGGTCCCACTTAATTTGCACATAACGTTAATCGACAGAGTAGCATGTAAATGAGAATGCGGTGGCTTTGTGACTTTGAAGGTGCTGTTGGCGGCTTTGTTTTGAGACTGTA